TGGCAAAGAGGACCCCTTCGAACCCCATCCCCCATTGCCAGCTGCTCTTGCGTCAGGAAAAAGCCATATCTTTTTCCACGACCCACTTGCTGTCACATGCGCTTAATTCACCTCCTGGTTACTCACTTTTCCGATCGAGTCGATTGGCCAAGAAAACTCGCCAAACCTGCTTGTGTACCACTAAAACGGTCCAAACCCAAAACTTGCTTACAAAGTCCGAAACGGAGCTCCGTTTTAGTGCGAACTTCTTTTGGCGGGCCTTCTGACCCCGCTTCGATTCGAGGCCCCGGCAGTGACCAGCAAGGCGCCGTGGCTGACGCCGTTGGGGGCGGAGGGCTGGTAGGAGCCCCGCACCTGGACCACCTGACAAATCCACTAGCAGGGCGTCCCCGGGCTCGGTAGAGCGAAAAAAACGGGACGCCTACCCCGGTGGTGGAATTTTCAAGGGAAGTGGGGTTGGGTCTACCGGTTGAGTTTCATCCAAACTCCCAGATATGGGTTGCCATTGTAGGTTCAATTGCCATAATGGAGGTTCAAATCCCGCCGCCAATGAGTACCAATAGAGGGTTTCCTCATATGTGTGTGTGTCTACTTTGAGGCTAACCCCTTTTTTGGGCTCTTTTTTTGTTAAAGCAAAGGGTTGGAGGCTCCCCCAATTTTGAGACAACCCCTTCAGAGAAACCTTCTACAGGAAATTGGCCACCTGAAGACTTGCGTTCCTCTAGGTGTCTTAGATGTATGAATAAAACCAAGCAAACTGTCGCCATAAAATGCCGGCAGCCGGCAGCTTGTGGTTTGACGATCTTGCCGCTTTATCTCACCCCATGCCTTCCATTCTTTGGCAAGTGCATCCAGCGCAATGAACAGATGCCAAGGCGCCAGATCCAAGTCCTCGCCGTTCTGGGCCTCGGCAACGAAGCCAACCGGAAATGAACACAGGGAAACGAAACTCGCAGGATTTTGTTTGTCCAAGAAGTTACGGGAACTTCTACAAGTCTGTGAATGTGGGATGGTTCCACAAGTCTGTGACTGTGGGATGGTTTTGAGGGTGACCAAAAGGAAACACCCCACTTCTGGAGTTTTGAGAGGAAGACCCATATGTCTGTGTTTTTCAGGCACGGTACCCTTTTCGGGGCTGGTTGGCCGGTTTGAAAGGGAAACCACAAGGAACACATCCTTTTTGTTCTGCATATGTTTGTTTTTTGTCTTTGGGGGGGCTATTTTGACACAAACCCAAATGGAAGCCCGAGAGGAAGAACATGGATAAGTAAGATAACAAGCCCAGAAAAAACGACAAGCCGAACAAATGGGTTATGTATGAGAGGCAAGGAACCCAAAAGGACCAGGGTTATCTTGGGAGTTCCACACAGGTTTTTAAAAGGGTTGTGGTTTGGGGGTGCAAAAAAAAATGTAAAAGAAACAAGAAACATGGAAAGCCCAAGAGACAAGGAAATAATACCGGCTCAAACTCTTCTACTACCCCAAAAAAGACCTAAGGCAAGCCCCAAGGCAGCATGTATAGGGCTTAAAATGGAAAGCATGAGAGGAAGACACAAGAGAAGTTCCTATAAGCTCTAATGATGCTTGATCGCCAAATTTGGAAATCCAAGAAAGGACAAACCGATTGGAAGCCAAGGAATGAAGGAAGGAGCAACCCTGGCCCAAACAAAAGGGGGAGCCGAAAGGCTTTGATCGGTCGGCTTTCTTTCGCCGGGCCTGGAAATCCCTTGCGCCTGAATTCATGGAAGCTGAAACTGACCAGAAAAAAAAAGGACCACAAAGAGGAGCTAAAACATCGAGGGCAAGACTCACATTGCAGATGCCTATTGTATGGCATCTGAGATGAAGATTTCAAGCTTCGGCAACTCTTCTTCAATGGCGGGATGTCAGCTAACACGAGCTCACATGACTAAGGTCCCTTGCTTGGGCACTGGTGCTCAACTGGATGCTCTCCCCGGCGCACGCTCCGATACAGCTCGCCCTTTTTCGGCCGTACCCACGGCTTCCCGGCTCGACTGCCCTAAAGCGTTCGGGACGATGGGTCCGGAGGCTGTGTAGTGGAACCGGTGCAAACATGATGCAGGACTCGGCAACAAGGGATCACCTGTTGGGGTCGCGATGGACACCGAACGGAGAACCAAGAAAGGGTGGGCCCAGCAAACTTAAGAACCAGAATCCAATGACTGAACAGCACAAAGAACGAAACCCGGAGAAACCTGCAGAACCCCCTCCCCCCCCAACCACCGTGGGGCACCAAAAATTTCCCGCTCGGCGTTCTTTTTGGGCTCCGAGTCGCCGCCACCTTCTCCAGTCGCATGATGGAGGGCTCGTCCAAGTGCCCAGGCCCCTGGCCCCCCAAATTGTTGTACCGCACCTCGGCGCGAAAAAACGAACACCCGGACCGAGGTCCATGAAGCGAATGGCCGGCGTGGGGGTCAAAAATAGGGGAAACCCCAAAATGGCAACGAGGACTAAGACCTGCGGTCCACATCCTGGTGGTTGCCAAAATGGCGGTGGTCCAAAATGACACCACTCTGGTTGAACGCCAAATCGCCAAAATCAGGGTCCAAAGCTCGCCACTTGGGTGCTTCGGTCAAAAAAATGGAATTCTCAAAATGGAAACGGAAATGGAAACGAGGACTAAGACCTGCGGTCCAGATCCTGGTCTAACTTTGACCCATACCCAACTGGCCAGCTTCTTCGGACCCTTCTTCACCTTCCCCCGTTTGGATTGGGGTGGAGGTTAGCGATGCGCTTCCCACAAAAAGACTCCACAAGATCTAGGGGTTCAAATCCCAAAACCACAAATCCCAACCACCAACTAAGGGTTAGAGCCCCAGTCCAGGAGATGCCCCCGTCCAGGAGATGCCATTGATCGGGTGCCTTTGATTGGCCCTCTAATTTGCCAGACTTGTGGATTTCCCGGTAATGGGCACCACGGGAGGTCTGGGAAAAAGAACATTTCAACACTTGGTCAGAACTCCAACGAGAGAAATTGCGAAACACAACCCAATGGCCTTCCCCTGAAGCAAGGGCCAATGTCGCGGATGTGTCGTTTGTACCTCAACTAAGCCAAGACCCCAGTGGCCGAGAGAAACAAGGGCACCCATTCTTGTTGGTATTTGACTTTGAAGTGAAACCCCTCCAAAAAAAGGAGGAAAAACGTACACTGGGCAAGCACTTCAAGGACAAAAAAAGGCAAAGGACCCTAAGAGTCATGACCCAAAGCCCAGAATGCCTTCAATCCACCCATTCTCTCGATGGTCGCCGAGTAGCCTGGTTTCCCCTGGTTTCCCCCGTGGGAGTGTCTTTTCGCGGAGTCCCCTTACAAAAGCGGACACCCAACTAGGTCGTCGAGGTCTTAGGAATCCTCTTCAGGCTACTTGAAACCAAACGCGGGAGCCTGGATGAAGCACTTCGCGGGGTTGGAGCAAAAGGTCGATCACCTTTTCCCCCAAAAAAATATAGGGAAAGACTTGGTCACACCATGAGACCAGCCATGGTTAGCTGGTTGACACTTGTGGTGAGTAATCTATTCCCCCGAATACTAAACGCGGACCCCCCGCCCCAACCATAAATAGTCTCTGGGGGGCAAAACATATTTATTGATAGGGTCCCTTGGGTCAGATGGGCTCCCCTGGAGACAAAGATGCTCATCCCTTGAAACAAGCAGAAAACGAGCTGTTCAGCCCTTGGTTCAACCACCATCCAATTGATAAACTTGGCTTGAGGGAGGCAGGCCAGGCAGGAGGACAAATCGAAAACAAAAATCGGCTTGCCGACTCAGGTGGGGGGGGGGGGGGGGGTAATTCTTAATAGACGACCCTTTGGTGGACATCATTTAGGTGGGGGGTTCTTGTCCACCAACCACTGTGGAAGTGGTGCCCACTCTTAAAAAATCATGGCCACAGTCCTATCGGCATAGGTGTCTTTTTTTAGGTTAGTGCGCTCAAAAACCGATGGCCCTGATTTAGGTGCCCAAATACAATCCACGGCCAGGTGAGTCGGTGAGCCTCTGAACTCCCCTCCAGCCCCCTTGTCGGCCTGTGATGGCTCCAGCTTCAGCATATGCCCCAGCCCCAGCTCCTCCGTTTCGGACATCCGGGACGAAAAGACCAAAGGAGTCAAGCCGTACGGATGGACAAAATCCTGCATGACGCTAAGTATACTATACTACTAGAATTCCCATAGTTTAGGTATCTAGGGTCATGCCGGATTTTGTCCATCAACGGTATCAAGCCCCCTCTTGGACGTGGTGGTCGGTGTTTTGTTTGACCCAAAACACGGCTTTTCCCGAATGACTGACAAAAACAAGGGTGGGGTCTGCTGAGTCAGCAACCCCTGGTTGATTTTGATTAGGAATATCCCAGTTTCCAAGTGAATCCAGATGACTTTTGCTGCGAACACCCCCTATTGCACCGAAATCAAAGCGGGCTCGGGCCGCTAAATAGGCTGGAGGATGAGGAAAATCAAGCAAATGGGTGCTACAAAGGGAGGGGGTGTCTGAAAGAATGGAACAACAAAGAAAGAACATCATTGTTTGGCTTCCTTTACAAGAAATGTTCTAAACAAATGTGGTATGTCGCACCCACCGAAGTCTTGGGGTGCTTGGCATGGAGTGGACAACCCTGAAGTTCCGGGATATTCGGGGTCGAGAGGGTTTCTAGAATTCATGTTGCTGAGGGTGTCGTTGCATATGTGTTGCCCCTCGTCGTGATCTTTACTACGGTTTGATTTTGAAGTGGGTATGTTGCTTATCTGATGCTTTTTAAAGGGAGCCACGCAAAATGGTGGCTTTCCTGTTTGGTGTCCCTTTAAACCCTCAAAAAGAGACAGACCCAACGGGGGTATGAGCCTTGGGGTATCCTTACTTGGGTCGGAAGGTTTGCGCGGCTCAGTCCTTTGACAGAGCCGCGCTCGCCAGAGCCGCCGCGGCCGACGCGGCCGCGCCGGAAGCAACAGCTCCTGGACCAGGTGGGGGGGGGGGGCTGGGCCCATGGATGACAAATACCTGCAACATGGCATGGGCGTGTTGGTCTTTCAGAGAACGGAAAGCAAGAGGAAACCCATTCTCCATTTTTGTCGTTGCTTTGAGGTGAGCCACCCTTGAGTCAGGTGGGTGGCTCGATTTGAGCCATGCCCGAAGGGACCAACCCCACACGAGCAGCAAAGAGCTGTGGATTTCCCAAACATGCGACGGCAAGACTTTTTGCGGCAGGTGTATCCCGGTGAACCATTGAATGACATGCGGTTGCCCATATCTTTTTCGCCACTGGAACCATCTCGTTGCTCTTCGTGGCATAGGCCCACGTAATCCAGGCCGGGAACAAGTTGATGGAACCAGTCCCGCTTCCGGGCAAGACGAGCCGGCTGACCATAACCCCCCTTCAATTTAACGAGGGAGTTCGGCCCATCTTTCTGGTCGGCTTACTTCTCGGTGAGCTCAGATTTGTTCTTTGTCCAAAGGTATGTCGTTTCAGCTGAGACATTGCAAAGGGCTCCGCCCTTTTCAAGATCAGGACCCCATTCTTGGATGCTCCAGGCGTTGCCATCTAGGAACAACACTCCGAGCCCTTGCGCTGGCGGGCAAACCAGCATAGTATATTATATATATATATATTAATTTATGTCCCTCCATCTCTTCCTTCTTGGGCCCCAAACAAATGGCCCCGGTGGCCCCTTGCGGCGTCCGCCCAAAAGCCAACTCCAAAGCACGAGCCGCAAGCCAAAAGGCCTACTGAAACGGGCAGGCCGGGCAGGGCGGCGAAAGCTCGCAAAGTGAGCCAAAGGAAGCCGGAAGTTGGAACAGGGAAGTGAAAGGACCCACTTGGGGAACCGTGGCTCAAAAAAATATTAGTACTGGCCCGATCGGGTAAGTGGAAACCATGGGTACCAAAATCCCAAACCTGCGGCTTGCCCCTGCTGGTGAATTAAAAAGCTTGAGCCACACCCAAAGGACGGCAACAGAAACCCAAGCCATTTTTTGGGAACCCCCTGAAACATCACTTGTTTCGCTTGCCAAGATTGAAAAAATACAATCATATCTTTTCCGCTGGCCTACTTCCCAGTCAATCTTAGAACGCATCAGGTGGCGTTGTTTCAACTTGGGAAGCGAAATACGTCCCAAGCGCCTCGCGGTCTCTGCTGAGGTTTACGGACAAAATCCAGCAAACCCACACGTCAGTCCAGTGGCAAAAGGGCATCTCTCTTCGCAAGCCGTCAAAACTACCAGTAGAGACATGGCGGAACTCACCATAAGTTTCAACCACGAAACCAAGGGACCCACAAAAAAGGACAAACAGAGAACCAGTGTCCAAGCGAAAGTCCAACTCGGTCCCTCTTGAAACCATGAAAACAAAGGGCACCCCCAAAGTGGCCCCAAAACCGTTACTAGTTGCCCGGAACCCACCGCTCCCCAGCTTTCATAAAGTAACCCCAGTCCTCCGGTAAGGGACCAAAGGTTTTCTTCCCCAAACAAACCGCACGGTCTAATGAAGGCCTCTTCCTTTGAGGATCCAGGGAGGGTTGATTCGTTATTAGGATGACCACCCCCCCCACCCTGCGGTGTAAACAGGTTAGACGCAGCAGAAACCTTACTTAGGAGACTTGCTGAAGGGAGTTATTTCACCTCCACTTTCTACATCTCACTTCCTACATGGGCCGGCAAAAGGCCAAATTGTTCTCTACCGCTCATGGGGACCAACAATAAGTTCATAGGGGGTGCCCCGTTTAGTGGGGGACACTCAGCATTCAACTGGTCGTCCCAAAAAAGTATGAAGTGGAACTCGGGAGCGAGCAGTGGATCTATCGCTGATTGTATACGCCCAAATATGGACTTCTGGTATGAACCCCTAGTTTATGGGTTGATTAACCGTGAGTTGTGGCTTAATTACTTTGTTGCTGTTAATCCCACTGCAAAAGGTTGTTTTTCACTTTTTACCCAATAACAGTTACGCAAAACAACAGTAGCTAACCGAATGTGTTGTTTTTCCCTAAAATGGCCTTCCGTGCAGGAACTCAGGAATTAGTGCTTTCCCATTTGGGGTACCTTCCCCTTCGTCCAGATTATAGGAAAGCCCCCCAACAAAAATCCACGCCGATCCTCCGCTCGGAGCCAGCGACGTCGACGTGGAGCGCAGCGAGACTCCTGCTCGGAGTCGAATCGGCGCGCTCGGGGGAAAAACAAAAGATGGGTCCTCTTCTTCCAACTTGGATAAGACCCCCTCAGACCAACACGGAAGCTCCCACAAGGCCGCTGTAAATGGAACCAAGTCTTCCAAAGGGGTCCGGGGAGCTTCCATGTCAGTCTGGGGGAGGGCAAGACCCCGGAAAAAAAAAAATGTCCAGTAGTGAAATCGATTCCCTTTAAAACCAACAGGGGAAGAAACAAAGCAACTCAGCAAATGGGTCCTCTTAGGGATCATTCAGGCGGTTCGGTCGAACCCTCTTGTTCCGCCTCCCCCAAAAAACCGCTCGCTCCCTTGGTATCAAAGATCACCTTTGTGGAAGGCGGTGGGACTCATCTTGAGTCGCCCTTTGGTTTGTACCAGCCTTGCTGTCGCGGGTGAAACCAGGTAGGGTGTCTACTAAAGCGTCCAACAGCGGTTTTGGGCAATAGAGGTTTGGGGCAAAGCTGTGGTTCGGTGATGCTGCATATCCGGGTTGCAAATCGGTATGTGTCCCCAATGTCATTCCGCTGGCTACAAACGATTGTGAAAATGCTGTATGGATGGGAAAGAATCTACTTCGCGCCAGTTGGATGGATGACACCCTATGAATATTGGTTTGATACATGGTTTGATACACCACCAATCATAATCAAAACCCGGTATTAAAAGGGTGTACCCAGGACCATGCAAAGAGTTAGAAGGCGGCCGCAGCGATTTGTGGTTGGAATTGTCCCTTATTAACCTGCATCTACCCGGGTTTTGATGGTGGCTCAACTGGCGCCTGGTGTGGCCACAATAATTCCAGCATCCGAAATACTAGTCAGCCCAAGCCAAGCACCTACACGGTGATCATTTTCTCGCCCCAAAAACACGGGCACAAGCTCCGATGCTCCCGATCCCATCCTGGCATCCGCTCGGCTTGCACCTCGGCTGCTTGGGTCTCAACCAACCCCCAACGCCTCAAACCGTTGAGCAGTGAAACCTGCATTGACACTCTCCGCAAGCCACGAGTCGTTTAGGACGTCCCAGTCCAACACTGTCGGCCTACCCATGTTAACGCGAGTGAAGGCTCGGCATGGGAACCCAGGCCAAGCCCCATGTTTTCCCCCGTGGGCTTCCCTCTGAAGCCACTTCAAAAATGAGGGCAGCCTCGCGTGTAGTAGGGATTTGGTCGCCCCGGACCAGCCCGGAGCCTGTCTGGGCTGAGACCCCAAAGCTTTCAGCTGTTGGGGAAAAACCTTGGGGCCTGCGTTTGCCACCCAAACAGGTGGTACTCGAAAAACACACGCCATTGCGTGGTTGACATAAAGGACATGAGAAAAAACGTGGGCGCCCCTGTGTTGGTAGGAAATTGAGGGGGTTTGCCAATGTCCCAAACCTCAAATGGATAGTAAACGACTGGATATGACCGAACCTCATGTTTGCTTGCAGCGGCCCCACTATTTTTGTCAAAGTCAGCTCATTATCAAGGCATGATCAAAGTCACCTCCCAAATGGTACGTTAAAGGGAAACAACCCCAGTTTCTGACTTTGATATCCCTCCAAAACACTCAAAGCACTGATTGAGTGATCCCAGTTACATGCCTTCAAATCAGAAATGAACCCGTACAAAAGGAGCCATCACCGTGGGAAAAATGGGTTGGACACCTAATGGCTGCGAGTTCATTTGCCCAAAAGCCATAGCTCCCTTTGGGAGTTGCCACCCTGATTCACAAGAGGGTCTTATAATTCTCCGCCTGAACATTGCCCCATGGTGAGTTCCTTGCCTAAAGGGTGGTTGAAATGGCCAAGTTGAATCCTGGGAGCTCGTTTTGTTCATCCGCCAGCTGTCATTGGGGTGGAAAAAGAACCCCGGTGCACACACGCCAACCCTCGGTCCTGCCAGCATGTTCACTTGCTGCCAGTGGGAACAGAACATTTTTCGGCTACTGAAGTCCCTGGGAAAAATAAGAACACGATGCTAGTAGCCATAGATCCTTTTAAAACAAACAGGGGACAATAAAGAATAATGTTAAAGCAAATGAAAGACGACTGATTCACCTAGGCTGGTTGAAAGGGAAACCAAGGGAATCATGGCCAAATGTGCAAGCTGAAACGAGCCGGAAATAAGGATAACCTTCCTGCTGCTTTTGCCCCCAACCAAAAAAAATGGTTGATTCTTGTTCGTATTTAGCTAACATTGAAATGTTAAAAAGAGAGAGGGGGAGAGAGAGAGAGAGAGAGAGAGAGAGAGAGAAAAAGCGAGAGCGAGGGAGAGAGGGAGAGAGGGAGAGAGGGAGAGAGGGAGAGAGGGAGAGAGGGAGAGAGGGAGAGAGAAGAGGGAGAGAGAAGAGGGAGAGAGAGAGAGAGCGAGAGAGCAATCCGGGATTCATGCAACATAATTCGCCCATAGCTTGCTTGAAGAGTACCCCACGCCCCCATTCAAATTGGGTGTGGGTCAAAATTAAACCACCAAAGGACCGCAGGTTTTTGTCCTTGGTTCTATTTGCCCGGGCAAGCCATTGCGGGGTTAGCCTATTTTTGACAACCACGGCCAATTCATCATTCAGGCCCTGCCAGATCTCCCACCCACTTCCCCAACGACGCCCCCGATCGACCCCATTCGATCGCCCCCCTCGATCGTCCAAAGGGCCACGTCCGGGGAGCGCAGGGCGATGAAGAAGGTGCGGCCCAACCAGGAGCCCCCCACCAGATTGCCTGCGCACCAGCTTCGTCAAGGGGCGCTTCGGTGGTCAAAACCGTTGTGGTTGATCCCATATTGGGTGGGATTGGTGAATTCACCACCCATGTTAGAACCTATTTTATCGGGGATTGGGTTCACTGGGGGTACGATTTGGATTTCGACCCATGGCCAAGTCACTTGAGAGGTTCTCAAGATTGCCACAGTGCCGAGAATTTCAGCTCTGATAGCAATAGAAGCGCACCTGGTGGGTTTGGGAGGACTACCATCCCGAACCAAACTCAACCCCTGCGCAAGGTGGCGAGGATTGCAAACATATATTAAGACCTTGATGCGGGCTTTATTCAAGAAGCCTTGGATCGAATGCCGGTCACGATCGATTTTTTCCCCGTCCCAAACAGCCACAAGATCCCAGGTACCAGATCCAAGTTCCAACGCCCCCACTACAAGGTCGCCCTGGGTGAGTCATGACTCATGGAAGCCAGAGAATCACATGCCCAGATTCGGTGGATTCTCTCGCAAGGCGTTGGAAGCTTGGCAAAAGGAGGCTCACAAGTCAACCTTTTAAGCGGGGAAGCTGGGGAAGCCTCGAGAACACCCCCTTCTGCAAGCTGTGGGGTTGCCTTGCTCACAGCCAGACAGGACGCAGTGCAGTTCCCAGTCTCCGGCTTCTTACCTGCAGCTCATCTGTTGGAAAGGTACCAACTCCATGCCACTCAGGAGAGACCCGCACCTTCTAGGTCTGGGAACCGTCCGTTTCGCCAGTAACCATAGGACCTCTGGCCATGTGGAGGAAATCTTGAGAACTTGCAAGAATCCCTCGGTTCAGCCCGAAAGGATCACCAATCCTATTTGGTAGTTGACACTTGATTTTCAAACTCTGGCAACTAAAATGACAAAGAAGCCCGCCATGGTATCCCAAACACTATGTATTCATGTTTGGGGGCTACAACTAATTTTGAAACCAACATGTTCGGCAAATACCGATATGTCTTAAAATAGGGGCACCCGCATGTTCCTTTTGGCTTCCTTTCAAACCAAAAAAAAGGGACCAACCCGAGAAAAAGAGAAGACGAGCCACCCATCCTTTTGATTTCCATGATTTGCTTTCAAAACCCAAGAAGTGTTCTGCCAACTCCCCAAAAACGAAGAAAAGACCGGGCCGCCCATCCCGGGCTCACCCCGACCAAACCGAACCCGGGGGAGCGAAAAAGCCGCCGCCTGCGGAGGGCGCGGCGGCCAGGGTCGCCTCGAAGCCCCCGGAGCTGCGGAAGAGCAGCGTGGGGGCGAGGCCCGCGGGCACTTCCCAGACCTGGCGGCTCTGTAGGCCGGCACTCCCGTTGAAGCCAACAGGGGGTTCGGGGGGTTTGGGTTCCGGGGGGGTGGGGGTGGGGGGGTTGGGGGGTTGGGGTTGGTTGGGGGGTTTGGGTTGGGTGGGTGGGGTTCAACCCCCTTGAAAGCCAACAGGGGGACTGCAAAACAACATAGTCTTGAGCAAATGACCGTTCGACCAACACCCGCCATGCTCCACCCATCCCAGAGGGCCATCAATCAGAGGGCCAACGGCCGCAAACAGAGAAGCCTACAGTTCGGGTACCCATAAAACGAAGCTTCTGTTTAGCCAGCGGATTCCCCATATTTCCCTACCTTTTACGGCAGTTTCAGCATCAGCTTTGGCACCAAGTGTCCTCGTGGGCGATTCTTGAGCGGAAATATTGGGAGCCCTGTTGATTGTCACTTGCGGTTGCCACTTTGCCTAAAGCTCGGCCAGTGCCCAACAAAAGGTGACACTTGTTCTGTGGGAATTACCAATATTGCAGGAATTGTCACTTTTTTGCTTTGGTACAGCAATAAGAGGTCAACCTTTTGGAACCTTTACTAAAATGGGCCAAGAAGAAATAAACTGAAAGGCCCCAAAAATGGCTGTGGGCACCATTAAGCTTTAGCAACGGCTTCTTGCAGTTGGAATTGGGAAGTTCATTCCCATATTCCCTTTCTGGAACTTGGGCTCAAGGGTTCTGACCCCTTCGAACTGACCCCAAGAAGCTCGCGAAGTGGTCAGTAATCCGGAACGGGGACTTGCAGCTATGGATTTGGTGACCATGGCAAAGCTAACCACTTAGCTGCCGGCCATTGAGTTCAGCCTTTGTTTGTCGAAATTCTTTCTAGTTGTGCCTTGCTGTATCCTACAAGTTGAGCTTTGCCTTGCTTTTGTTTGCCTAGCTAATTTCTAGTGGTTGCCCCCCCCCTTTTCCGAGCTGTGCCTCATGCTCTGAATTTTGCGGTGTCTTGGTTTTGTGTTTACTGGTGTTGCCTCTCTTCATTTTGTCGTTTTTACATGGAAAGCCCCGTTCCAAGTGGGCTCTTCTACCAAGGGTACTTTATTGGACTGCATGAACCACCCTGGGCAGTTTGCCGCGTCTGGGCCACGCAACATCTGGGGAACCCTGGCCACTGCCCACTGCGGCTTCGGATCAAGTGGCGGTTCTTCGTCATGGACTATGAAGACACCAGCCGGGCAAAAGTTGGAAGTTTGAGCTACCTGGGTGTGGCTCAAAAGAACATGAAACCAGGGGTTCTTAGATTTTCGTGCTTTCTTGTTCCTGCCCGGGTAGCACACTCAATAGGCCTTGCCCTCCAGAGCCAGCATGGTGCCGTTGGGCCAGTACGCCGCCTGCAAGCTCGCCGGCGCCGGGTGGGGTTCCTCTAATCCAGTCCAGAATGGCATGGTAGCAAAAGACTGGCTCTGGTTCTTGAAAAGGCCCACCAACAATAAACAGAACCAATAAACGCAACAGTGATGTTTCCGGTGTGTTTGGCTGGTGGCCATCCAATCTTGGAAGCTGAGAACTACTTGCCGCTTTGGGGGAAGCTCCCCTATCGGGAAAAAAAAGCGTACCAACCTTTCACACCTCTCAGTAACCTCGCCCCACGGCATCCTCCAAAAAGCTCCGGGTGCCGTCCCGAAGAGTCAGCATGGGCCTTTCTTTTGGGTTCGCGCCCAAGGGCCGCTCTTCCCGGTGCACCCCGTTTTCACGCCGCCAAACCAGAAACAACCCAAGAAAGCCTGATGTAGCTGTGGGTAAGAATTCAGGAAACCCCTGGTGAACATCAAAATAGGTGGCAAAGGGATGTTCATCCACCCTAAAATGGAGCCATAGTTTCTGCCCCATGGCCATGTAGCGCCAAGGGGCAGGGCGTTTATCCAGTCACTTGGGGTACCCTAAAAGTGCACCATCAAGACACCACCTTCGCACTGGAGAGGTCCACTCAATCGACGGCAGGAATCTAAGGAACTTGTTTGTGGCGAGGCTTACCGTCCATTCCAGGGTAAAGCAGCAGACCGATTTCCGGCATGGTCTGATCTTGGCGCACCTGTGAGGTACTCCAGATATGGCATGTTCTTATTCTGTGTCTGATTTCATCTATCCAAAAAATAGAAAATCGATTTGGAGGAGACTGTATCTGATCTAATAAAAAGTACAATCTGTGTCTGATTTAAGCTATCCAAAAAATAGAAAATCGATTTGGAGGAGGCTGTATCTGATCTAAACAAATACAATCTGTGTCTGATATAGTCTATCCAATATATATATATATAACATCGATTTGGAGGAGACCCGAATACCCACGTCTTTTCGCTATCGAAGGACCCGCAGCCTCCGCGTGCTTGACGAAGACCTCGCCCGGCGCAACACCTTGGAAGGGATCCTGGCGAACCCAAAAATGCGGTCGCACTGCGGAGAAGAAAAAAGAAAGAAAGAAAGAAAGAAAGAAAGAAAGAAAGAAAGAAAGAAACAAAACAGCAAATGGCCCGGTTGGGCGAATGGATACCCTCCCTAACGTGGAAGCTGACAGGAGGATTTTGGAAGTCGATCTTCCTCCCCAGGAAGCCTCCGGTCAGCCTTCATTGTTCTTGGAGAGACGGTGTGTCTCAACATGGGAGAACAAAGGCGCGAAGAATCAGCTAAGATCACGACAGGTTGCTTTCATGTGTCACATAGCGGGACCCCCCCCAAAGGGATTTTGCTAACAAAGGACACACCCACATGTGCATTTGGCGGCAGGAAAAAGCTATGGCAATCAAAATCCGTGAACTGTGAGAAAAGTATCTCTCAAAACAGGGGACTTGTTTTGGAATGGTTTATTTGCAAACCGAAAGGAAACCAACGAGGCGCAGGGGACCTTTCTAACATGCTGGCAGTCTTCCAAACCTTCCGCACTTTCATGATTGGTAAAAGGGTGAAAAAATTAGACATCCGCACATCAACTATGCAAAAACCCCCCAAAAACCCCTGATTTGTAGAGGAAGCTGCTTGTGGGACTTTGGGGGACCCCGGATTTTCGGAGGTTCTACCTTGACGCGCAAACCGTTTTTATTGGCCCTTTGGAGGTCCAAACCGGTGTTGACAAACCCGTCCTCGGCGTCGAAGATGGAGACGAAGAGCTTGGACACCTCGATCGGCTCTTCCTCCTTGGCCTGGAAATTGCTTCGGCCACGGTTCCAACTTTGGGCGGGGTCGCTTTTTCGGGTTGGAAGCCCTTTTTGGCAGGTTGTAAAAGGAAACCAAGAGGAAAGCCATCATTCTTCGTTTGGGGGGGGTCCCTTCAGAGAAAACTCACACCCAGAGCCCAATACGTGAGGCTTGATCAATATTCCCTTCAGCCCCCTCAGCTACCACGGGTAACTGTTCCCAAAAATCAGCATGGGTAACTTGCTTGTCCCATGTGGTTGACATATCATCTCTGTTTTACGGGTTTTCCAAACGAATGGTCCCATGTTTTACGGGACCTTCTGATCAACCCTGAGGGTGTGACTGTAAGCTTGGACCCCATGGCGTTGCGGTTTTCCTGGTGTCCCTGCACGCCAAGAAAGGGTACTCTCCAAAGGACGAGCCACCCATGAGCCACAAGGGCATGGAGATGTGGCCGCTGTGACTCTGGTGAAAAGTCTGGGACCCTTGCGCTTTGTGCCATGTTGCTAGGGCCTGAGATTTGAGCTAACTAGTCAACTAGTCCAGCTCCAGGTTTCAGGCCCCTGGCTCTTTCCTTTCAGCGGTTCCTTGGGCGGCTTCGCCTGCGTTTTGGGTAACCCGGTCGAAGGGGATGGTTTTTCTTCGCGCCTTTGCCAAGGACAGTGGTCCGAAAGGGCAAGGCCGAGCCCATCATCCGGCACAATCAGCCACAAATTGGGGGGCTGCATTTTTTGAGATTGCGGCTACAAAACCCGCAGGGCCCCAAAAAAGCCAAAGTTGGCTTTGCCGCTTTTGGTGTCCAAGTCTGGATGAGTTCAAAGCTAGCGGGTTGAAGGCACGAACCAAAGAGTTTGACGCTCCAAGGCCTCCAGGGGGGAGAGTTGGACCCAGGTTTTGCCCTTGGTGCGGGGTGAGGGCGAGTTTTGGCCGTTTCGGGTTCCAGGACGACGCCTAAAATTCTCTCAGTGTCAATGTGCTCCAGTGTCAGGCTTCTGCACGGGCATTCGCTTGCATGTGTGTGTGTGTGGCACCCCAAAAACAGAGTCAGGCTTATGTTTTGCCAGCATTTTGCGAGAGCTCTGTTGCTGGGTTCTCCAGCATTCTGTGCAGGCATGGCCCAAAACAAAATAAGTGGCACATGTGCAGCAAACAGCAGCCGAACATCCGCCTTGGTTGTTCAACATCACCTTTTGGGCCCATTGGTGAGTCCTTTGTTGATGCTAGCTTTTGGTTTGAAATACAGAAACGCTATGGCTGCGGAAAGCCCTACTCTTTTGTGGGGGGGGAGGAGGCAAAGAAGCCCAAGAGCCTCTCAGCCTGTTGAAGCCTGTCATTGGGTATGTACTTTTGACATGTTCCCTTTGCCAAAAGGGGTGAACCCCATTTTAGCCTCCGCAAATCGTATAAAGGATAAGCCCTGTAGATGGTTTAAATACCTTCAAAATGTGGGCATCCGAGTCCTGCAAAACAGACACACCCAAATTAATCCAGCGAGTTTTGGGCTATTCCCAGATTCCCTGCTCAAAGTCTAACTTCCAGTGCTTCGGTGGAAACTACTAAACAAACCCTACCCAAAAAAACCTAAAGAACCTAAGGAACCGCATGGCTAGTTGAACCACCCAGGGTTCTTATTCCTCGAATCCCACCGTTTTTCCACTGGCCAAACCGACCAGCGCCCCATGCACCGCGAACCACCACGCCCACGCGCCTCCAGGCGCATGGGCGTGCGCACCAGGCGCAGTTGCACGACGGCCTCCGTGCCCGCAGCCACCTCGAAGCGACGAGGTCCGGAGGGAAAAAGCCGGAGGTGGAAACGGAGGTTTTATTGTAGGGTTAAAAAAGGTGACATATAGTATATAGGCGTATTATCTGGTTATATGTATATATATATATACACATCATAGGGTTGATTCTACGCATGTTATGGTTGGGGAGGAGAGATGGTGACACGCCATCCAAAAAGAATTCGATAAGAGATGGCGTGTGGATGGGATCGGCCCCTTTCTGTAGCTCTTCAGATGGAGGGGTCGTTTCTAGAAACCAACAAGGAAGGAGCTATGCGCTATTTTGCGCATGTCCAAAAGCCCTGAGCATGGGTGGTGTGCGTTTGGCGCCCTGGATCTAAAGAGGGTTCCGTCTTTTCGAGCCGGGAACCCCCAAAGGAAGGGCCGGATGGCTCGACTACTCTCCAAATGGCTTCCCCGGATTTCGCAAAAATCACGCGAGCAGCCGTGGCTGCCGGTTGCGTGGTGGATTTCCACAACCACATGCACAGAAGGGGTCCCTCAGCTTGAGGCCCAAAATCATTTGCAGATCAGTTTATCTCAAAGTTAGGGACCCAATGCGGTTGGTTTCCTTTAGGTTTGCCCCCCAAGCAAGCGATAAGGAGAAGGGGTTCCCACAAAAGGCACACCCACATAAAAACCTCGTGAACTTCCAAAACTTTGTGTAAACAAGGGCCAACCAAAAGCGGGACCCTCATATTTCGCCTCTGGTTCCTTGCACGCCCTTTTCAAGATCCACCCGGGAGCGCCAACCAAAAGCCCCTGAAGGAGGCAAGTCGAAGGACTGATGTTGACTCAGATCCCCCAAAATTCGTGAGAGCACTCTTGGAGGGTACTTCAAAGGAAACTGACCCCAAGGTCGTCTAGGGCACAACCCTAGTTTAAACCCCATAGTTCGAAAGCTTTAATTTGTGGTACTTAAAACAAACCGCAAAACAACTTCAATAGTTGGAAAACCAAGCTGTTGGATCTGGAGGAAAAGCGATACCCTCCCTCGCACTAACACAGCACCTGTGGAAAAGTACATGGAAGGTCATTTTCCTCTTGTAGGGTACCCCCAGTGAACATCCCAATTCGCACTAAAATAGGTTCTAAAATGGGTGATGCACCTGCCCCAAAATGGTACCATGGTTTTGACACACAGCCATTTTAGTGGGAGTGAGACCATTCGGTACCTTCAAAGTTTTCGGACGGGCGCCCGGGCATTCACAGCGGCCGCGAAGTGATGGCCCCCCAGGCCGTTGAGCGCGGGCCTTTGGGGCCGATAGCCCTCCTTGACCCGCAGCACCTGGGCACAGCTTCCGATCCGATGCTTGGATTGGTCCCGCCTTGCGCGCCTGTCCCAACCTGAGGAAGAAATCCGATATGGGTATGTCGTTTTGTTTGTTCCTTTCCTTTACCCCCTTTCAACGGGCACCAACTCCAAACAAGACGAGATCACAACCTAAACAAAGAACATATTCTCATAGAGCCCAGCAACACCAATCTTAGAGCAAACCTCAAGGAAGAGTCTGTTTTGCCAGGCGGTTTGGAGACATGCGCACTCGGACCAAGAGCTTTGTGAAGTCCGGGATCCGACGTCAACTGGCTCTCGAGAGGTGCAAAACCCCAGGAGAAGAGTGCGGGGGCAAACGCTTCTGACCATAGGTGTCCTTTGGCGAAATAGATGGGTGTCCCTGGTAAATGGGGCATGAAACCGATCTAACCAGTGGAACACACCTAGTTCAAATCAAACTAGGCTAAAAAGGACACCGAATGGTTCTGACCCCCTAAAAGTGACAACTTGTGGAAAGCTGAAAGACATCCAAAAAGGGCAACACGGCTGAAATAGGCTCGATTCAAGGAAAGGCAAGTAGTTGCGTCAGGCTGCGAGTGAACAGATTCACTGTAAACATGCGCCATTGGATCTTCTTTGCGTCGCACCTTCGAATCTTCACCGCTTTGTTTGTAAACGCCAAGGGGTGTTCTCCCAAACGTGATCCGAACCCGACATGAGGCGGTTGCGGTGCCAATCAAAACACCAAAGCACCTCCCAGAAGCAAATGCCCGAAATCTACAAAGGCGACGCCTCCTGCATGTCGGGGAAAAACATGTAGCCCTAAAAAGACCAACTAACAAAACGCAAAACCCGTGCTTTTTGGGGGCCCCCGCAACCCCTGCAACCCCCTGGAGCCCCCCTAAACCCCCCCCCCCGGGTAGGGACCCCGGCCACGTCCAGCGAGGTGTTGCGGCCCCCCAGCCCCGCGACGGGTGCCAAAGACCCCGCGCCGCGGAACCGCAGCTCCGCCGGGCCCCGCAGCGGGCCCAGACCCCCCAGGTTGTTGCAGACCACCTGGGGACCCGCCGTCGACCCGGGCGCCGACCCAACCAAAGAAGAAAGGAACGCGTGGCGTGGCATTTGTGTCTCCGTGGTTTTTGTGTGAACAAGTCGCAAATGATCTTCGCACCCATGCTTTTTAAACAGGGCGAAATAGAATTGGGTGCATGTTGAATTCAGTTTGAAAAGCAATGTACTAGCTATGGTTTAGCGCAATGTGTTCTTTTTCCCCCTGAAACATCAGCTTTTGATTGGATTCAAGGCGCAACAACCTGTGGAGGAGGATATGTGTTGGAACCCTCACAATGGGTGGTGCCCCTGTTCCTCTTCCTGGTCGGCCAAGACCTGGCTCGGTTGGTTCAAAGGGGAAGGACCTATTGACCTGTGGTTCTGCCAAACTGGCTATAAAGTTTGTATAAGGCCTATTAAAAGCAGAATGCAAAAGCAAAAACTGGTAGCAGAACAACCTAAACCCGCGAAAGACATGTAAAGCAAGCCGTCAAAAGAACCAGGCACCAGTAACACCACGCGTGTCCTTCTGAGGAAATCATGCGGGATAGTTTATAGGGGCATTCCCTCATTCCCTGCTGAGAACCAGCAAGTCCACTTCACCAAGTCTTGGGGAGCAACCCTGTGGCAAAAAAACAAGGCCCCTCTCCCCTCTTAGCTAGTCCTATAGGGGCTTAACGTCTGGAGCCCCCTCACCAAATGGCCACAAACAAAATGCCGTCACTATCAGTCATGGCTTTTGGGCTTCCGTGTCAATCTGAGCAAATATGAACATGTGCAACATGTGCCTCGCCAAATGCTCGCAGGAGTGTGTGTGTTTTTGAAAGAAACATTTGGGCTGGTTTCCAGGGAGAAAAGGAACACCACCCCTTCTTGGGTCCAGGGCCCTACTTTGACACATACACACACACAGGCCCGGAGTTTCACTCCGCGAAAAGCACGAACAAGAGGCTTTGACAGAACCCTATCAGTAACGTTCAAAGCAGCTCGCAAACAACTTCCCAAACGTTTGGTAGCAAGGAAGGCTGTGTTGTTGCAGCCATGTCTAACAATGAAGAGAACCAGCACACTAAACAAGAAGCAAACATGCAAAAGAAAAAGTGAAGACTACCTCAGCTAACCCCCCCAAAAAAAAGAAAAAGAAAGGAAGCACCAAGAAGTATGTGTAGATTCCATGAAAAGAACGCCTTAACAAAGTGGCAACTTGATTCAAACAACGCCTACCGCATGCGAGGTGTTCACCCACACCAAAGACAAAGCTTCTCTGCTAACAGGACCGCAAACGGGGAGGGGGGTGCCAGGCACAAGGGCGGGGGGCTCCCTTGTATTTCAAGGGGGGGGTGTCCCTTTGAAGTTCAAAGGGACTCGAAAAGGTTTGGGGCGAATCAAGCCAACAGGTCACACCCGCCACTCCCAAGTCCTTCCGCCCCAACTCTTTGGGTCTTTGGCTCCGGGTGCCCCAGCGTTGGTCTTCCGCATCACCAGGCTCTGCCCAAAGTGCGGCACCTCAAGCGGGAGATGGTGGCAAGAAGTTGCCCTCCCATTGACCCACCCACAATTCAGATCTGGTGACCCGGAATCACACCAACTTGAACACCCACACAATCACGTACACAAACATGAAGATGGGTTTGTGGAACCTCACAGGTCTGCAAAAACCCAATTCCTTTCAAAGGGACCCCCGGTCGATGGGTTCTATGGTGACCCGTGTGACACCAACGCAAACCGTGCGTGGCAACATCGTGCTGGAGCGGAGTCCGGTGGTATCACAGACAATGGGCCTACTAAGCTTTCCACAGCCACGAGTAGGGCAAGCATCAATCTCCCCAAAAGTTCAGAAGATCAGTTCGGTGGTACCAAGGAACAGCCAAGAAGACTCAGCTGCAGGGTCCGGATGGGATTCAAGGAAGCTCAAAGCAAACCAGCCACTTTACCCATTGAAAACACGGCATCCCTATGCAAGACACCTTCGGTCACAAACCCCGCCGCTGCCCAGAGGTGGGTACTGTATGTCCCACAACACATTACCTGGCTTTTCGAAACTGCAGGAAAGCGCGGCACAGCCCTACTCGGGCACACAGAAAATAACTTGTTGGGACTGTGTGTCCTATTTCGGTCATTTTTTGAGGGTACCCTTTTTGGGGCTCATTTCAAAGGAAACCCCGAGTGAAACCATATTTTTGGGAGGGGTGCCCCTACGTTACACCCAAATAGTTTGGGAGAAGAACCCAGTTTTGGGGCGGGGCGGTTCATTTGGACATGACAAGTCTCATTGTAGACATTCGTTTCCGATGGCTGAAACCCGGGTTCCTGCGCCTCTATGCGCGCTGCAGGCACTGCGGAGCCTCCGGCGGGGCCAAGGGGAAACCCAGCTTGGGTACACATTGGGCTTCGGTCAACATAGAGAACGTAGTGGCTCAACTTTCTATCAAACCTTGCAGATACGAGGCTCGTCTCAAAATAGAGAACCCCAATTTTTTTTGGTGGGAAACGGCTTTGCTTTCCCTTGAACCCAAACCTAGAAGGGGTACCCAAAACAAAACACGCCAAGTCGTGTTTTGAGAGTTTTGAGACAACCCAAATAGGGACACCTCCCAAATTGGGAGGTTGCCTCACTTCAAGACCTGGACACGTTGCCCTACCAACAAAACTTTTGAAGGTCCAACAAACACCAAACCATGTTGGTGGGGAGGCTAATCACTTGTAACCACGAAAATAGTGGCCAACATTGGGGGTGATCCCCCCAGTCTTGTCAACCCTCGTTCGTTTCAGCGACCCTCTGCCAAACCAAGATGGCGTGTGCTGAAGAAGGACCCACTCACCTAGAGAAGCTACCCCCAGAGAAATGACGTGAAAAGCCGACCGCAAAGCTCAGGGAGGGACAGCTAGCTGTGTTTCTTCTGAAACAGCGGCCTTGTTTGTTTTAGGCGGGAAGTTCCCAACCTAACAGGAGGGGTCCACTGGAAATTGCAAAACAAATCCGGCGGGCACAGTCCAGCGGGTTCCGTCCAGCGGGTTCCGTCCAGCGGGTTCCGTCCAGCGGGTTCCGTCCGGTTCTTGTTTTTGGAACCCACCAAACACAAAACGAAACCGGTGGGTTTCAACGAAAGCCGCTGGTGACGTCGGAACCTGTAGCCCCTTGCCCCCGGTCTCGGGTCGGCTCGGGGCCGGTGGAATTTGGCGTGCCGGATTCGGGTGAACCTACACCATGTTCCCCTGCCAGGGAAGGGGTCCATTTCTCCAGTCAAGGGGGAAAGGACCTAGAAGTCAGGAGGTTTATTCCAGGTTGAATTTGCGGTTGAAACTGATAGACTTTCACAAGACAGCTTCTCAGTGTTTCAGTGAGAGTATCATTAGCTGTGGTGACGTACGATGTTTGGTACGCTACTCCAATTCCATGTTCAGCGGAATCTGTGTGCAGCGTGCGTTCGTGAGCTGAAAGGAGTCAGCCTCCAATGGCAAACGGGCTCTGGCTCCATTGCAAGGAACCGATTCAAACAATTCCTAGCTCAAACGGTTTGCTCTGCTAAAGCCATCCCCCCCCCAGAACAATCTGGCTTCGCAAATCCGGGATCAACATGAAGCAGTTGAGCGCCCAAAGTTCGTGTTTGGTTCTACCAGGTTCAAATCGACATGCAACCCAGGTAGCAAAAATAACTATGTACGTGTCAGTATAAGCTCCCTTTGGGTTTCCCTTTAAACCAACCCTCAGAGGTTGGTTGGTTGGGGGAGAATAAAGAAACTAAAGGGTACCTCCCAAAAATGGCGGTCCTTTTCAACCCACCCTCACCATTCTTTGCCCTGGAAACAGAACCGAACACTCCCATCTGAAGAATTTGATCGGTCGGTATGGGGTTTTACATCCATTGCATCCGCAGTGTGGCTGTTCAAGCGTGAAAATGTGCGAGCAGCGCACTTGGACGGTTTGTTGTTTCCTTTTGGGCCCCAAACCGGTAACCCTTGAATCTATAGGTTATCAGCCGTAGGCCCCTAGCTCTAAGCAATGGACGGTTCCCTTGTGCCAGTTGATGGATCCAGCATGCCTGTGGATGCTGCCGGAGCTAGCTCCGGCAACGCCACCGGCGGCGGTGTGCGAATGTTCGCATCAAGCGCTAATGCGCAATACAACCGCACCCTGATGAATTCCCTTCAACTGTACAATACCGCAATCTTTGCTTTTGGGAATGATGCAGCCATTAGGTCTGAAGCCGAAGCCCTGCATCAAGCAGCTGTTACGCATTTGCAAGCGGAAAACCGTGAGGAGCTCCGTGTCGCACAGAATCAGCTGCATGCACACTACGCTGAATGTGTGCAAGCCCAGTCGCATAGAATTCGTGAATACGAACAGCGAGTGAGCGATGAGTTCATTCAAGAAGTGAACTTCGCTGAAGCTAGGATAAGCCAAGTGTGTGAGGAAAATGCCCAAGCAATGCATGAAGCGGAAATGGGACACAAAACAACTGAGTTTAGGCAAGCCATCGAATCCACCCTGGCGGAAGCCCAGCAGCTCCTCCATGAGCAAGCTGCCAAGCATGCCGATGACACAGCCCGTGTTGAAGCGACACACGCCAGGACGGTTGACATGATGGCCCACCAAAACGGGCTTCTGCAGGACGAGCTAGATGAGCTGAAGAAATATCAGAAGCTACACGACCTCCGCGAGGATGGATCGAAGCCCAAAGGGGTAGGTGATACCCGAGAGGATTCACCAGAGTTGATGACCGACGACATGAAGTCAGCCCGGTCCCAAAGGTCAATGTTGGACCCGTTGACCCATCCGTTTCAATATGCAAAGGAAAAGTTGAGGTCGCTTGTTACCTATGACGGTTACGGGGATGAATATACCCCTAGCGTGATTCCAACTGCCGAATGCGAAGCACTGCCCGCAGATGCTCGCGATCCGCAAGGACCAGCTGAAAAGCCATCAGGTAGCAGCCGATCCCCGGTGAAAACTAGCGCACCGGTCCCACCCCTGCAATTCTCTCAGGGGCCAATGTCAACTGACCGCAAGCAGGGTGGTAAGCCTCCTGGCGGTCCGCCACCTGATGATGGTGGCGATGGCGATGGTGATGAAGACGAAGGTGACGGCCTCGGGCCTAACCTCGGCAATGAAGCATTCGCCAAGATGTTGATGAAGTTAGTAAAAGGCCAAACGAACGATGAAAAGCCCAGAACCCGCGAAAGCGAGACGTTGCGATTCAAGGAGATGCCAACTCCTGAAACGTACCGTGAATGGAAAACATCGGTTCGTGAGGATGTCCGCGCCGCATCTGACCGTCCAGACGAGGCTTGGCCTTGGATCATGGAAGTCTGGTCCGATCGCGAGGACAAGAAGAAGCTGTTGGAGGAGCTCGGCGAACCGGGAAAATTCGTGACCCTAGACACGAAGATTCTCGCAGCGCTCACGCGTTCAGCGAAAGGCGATCTGGCTCAGCGAATCCTAACAGCAAAGGAAGAATGTGCCAAGGAGGGAAAGGCCATGAGAGGAAGGCAGGTCTTGTTTATGTTTGACCAATATTTCAAGACCAGTGAAGAAGCCGGAAACCTCTACTCCTTGGAGGACCTGTTGCGTGTCTCGCGACACGGCGAAGGAATCATTGATCTCAAGCGTTTCCTGAACGCTTGGGATTCCGTGATCGCCGGCATGAAAAGGCCGCCGGAAGAAAAGGTGTTGAAAGACATCTTGCTTCGCCAAGTGAGAAGCTGCCATCTGTTGCGGTACGACATTGACACATATGATCGTTGCCGTGATGATGATCCCAATAAATCGTACGATTTCCTAATGCGTTGCATGAGGGATCTAATCGAGAGGGATAGGCTCCGCGAGAACCGAGAGCGCGTGTCCAAGGTCAATGCCAGTAAAGCCCCGACGCCCAAGGCTGGTGCTGCCGCCCCTGAAAAGAGGGACCCCAAGAAAAAGAGCGCACCTAAGCCGAAGGACACCGAGGAGAAGTACTGCTTTGACTTCCAGAAGGGCTCGTGCACGAGGGGGGCAAACTGCCCTTACGCGCACCGCAAGGAGCCGCGAGGACGCTCCGCGACCCGTGGCAGGCCAAGTTCCCCCAAAGGCGGTAAAGGAGAGAAAGCACCGTGTTCTTTCTTTGCCCAAGGGAAGTGCACTAGAGGTGACAAATGCAAGTTTAGCCATGCCTCCACGGGCGGCAAATCTGCCGCCGCGGCATCGAGCAGCGAGGCCAATGCAAATCCTGCGGCTAAGAAGCGTGCAAATTCGCCTAAGCCTAAGCCCAAGGCCAAAGCCGCTGCAGTCTGCACCAGGTACGCCATGTTCGCAAAGCCGATTGATCCAATCGGAGTGTCATTCGACACCAATGCTCATGTGCATGAGATCCCCGCCGAAGGCGATGGTTTCAAGCTTGAGTATGAGGAACGGCAGTACAATAGGATGTTCCCAAGTGCTAAGGACTGCCCCAGGCCGACCAAAGGGACTAACAAGGCAGCGCGCAAGGCCGCGAACCAGTTGAATGCCGTAGTCAAAGCCATGGAGAATGGAGCCCAGCCCGCTTGTGGTTTCATGTGCGATGTGGAATCCGATTCCATCTCAAGCCTATCGTGTGATGAGTGCCTGAGAGTTGCCATGCCGCCTCACGATGTTCGCAAGGATGTCGAAGCGCCAAGGGCAGCCACCCCTGCCCCAAAGGGAAAGGATGTGTGGCTCATTGATTCCGGTAGTGAGCAGGACCTCATCAGCAAAGCTGCACTGAGGAATGCGTCCAAGGCAATCCGAAAACAGGCTCCACAGCCTACTCGCCTTGTGACTGCAAACGGAAACATCACTGCTTCCGAAATCGCCGACATCAATGTCGATGCATTGTGTGAGCTTGCTCAGCCTTACATCCTCGAGAGTTCTCCCGCAGTGCTGTCGCTGGGTGTGAAGTGTCTGGATCAAGGATATTCCTTCCATTGGGAATCCGGGAAGGCGCCAACCATGGTTCGCCCTGATGGTGCTCTGATCCAGCTCAAGGTTGATGGTCATGTGCCATACATGGATTCTAGCTGTGAAGCTG